GAAGCTGCTAAAGGGGCTGAATTTTGCATTACATTGGCTGGGGTCAAAAGCGAGTTGTCTACCAGACACCTGTATGTGCATATTTGCTTTATTCACTGCTGTATCCCCGGTATCTAGAACAGTGTCTGGCACACAGTGGATGCTCAGAAAATATTTGTGGAATAAACACATAGAACTCTTCACATCTGCAATTTCTGCCACACCCACCTCTGTGTCACATCCTTTCTTCGAAGTCTGGCTTAATATTCACAGAGACTTCTCTGTGGCTGACCCACTCCGTGCCCAGCACTAAAGCCTTGGCTCCCTCTGGGGAGCTCTCCGAGCTCCACAGTGAGAGCTGCTAGCACTTGCCTTTTGCCTGTGGCCTGGACAGGGCTGTGGACTTTTCATCCCGGTTCTTCAGGCAAGGTTTCATACCCGCCCCCTACTGTGGGAGTGGACAAACTTCATCCAGATCACAACTCCCGGGCTCCTTGGAGTTCGGCACCCTGTATCACTTTTCTCTGAGCTAAGGTTGAAGTCTCAACACTCACATGGGTTAGCATAGGTGACTACAAGCAGAGCTTCACCTCTCTCAGCCTCAGTTCACTCATCATAAAGGGGGTAGGAAACAGCTAAAAACGCCATTCCTGATCACCTGACAATGATATGGTGAGGATAAATGAGGGCAGATGGCCGGGCGCAGTGGCTCACACCTGTAATCCCAGCATTTTGGGAGGTCAAGGTGGGCAGATCACTTGAAGCCAGGAGTTCAAGACCAGCCTGGTCAACATAGTGAAATCTTGTCTCTACCAAAATACAAAAATCAGCCAGGCGTGGTGGCAGGCACCTGTAATCCCAGCTACTTGGGAGGTTGATGCAAAATTGCTTGAACCTGGGAGGCAGAGGTTGAAGTGAGCCAAGATTGCACCGCTGCACTCCAATCTGGACAACAGAGACTCCATCTCCAAAATAATAATAATAATAAATAAATAAATACAAAAAATTAGATGGTTGCAGTGGCTCATGCCTGCAATCCCAACACTTTGAGAGACCAAGGGGAGGTAGATCACTTGAGGCCAGGAGTTCAAGACCAGCCTGTCCATCATGGTGAAACCCTATCTCTACTAAAAATACAAAAAATTAGCTGGGCATAGTGGTGCACATCTGCAATCCCAGCTATTTGAGAGGCTAAGGCAGGAGAATTGCTTGAATCCAGGAGGTGGATGTTGCAATGAGCCGAGATCACACCATTGCACTCCAGCCTGGGCGACAGAGTGAGTGGGACTCCTTCTCGCAACAACAAGAAAAACTACAAATGAGGGCAAAAATGGGACCCTTCCTTGCCTCTGTCAGGCTCTGCAAAGCTGTGGGGCTGCTGTTTCCTAACTTTAGGCCACTGAACTAACAACAAATATCCACACCTTCATTGTCTACACCCAAGGCAGAGCAGGTGCCTTTTCCTCCATAGCCCCTTAGCCCAGGCTGCTCTGTGCAAGCTCTGGCTGACTGTGGGCTGCAGGCTCCTGGGCTATCAAAAGGGCCTGGATGTGACACCCTGGCAGATGCTGCTGACTAGAGAAGGGGAGCCCTGGTCCCCTTCTTTCTTAGGTCACATAATCAGAAGCAGCAGCTATTCATCTATCTAGATGGGGAGCCACCGGCACGTGGAAGGCCATAGAAACTTGGGTTAGATGCCTGCTGGGCTGAGACAGAGGCTGGAAGGTCATCAGGGACAGAGCTTGTCTCACCACTTAACCCTGAGCCCCACACAAGGACCAGAGCAAGTGTGGGGTGCACAAGCTGCTTCTCACCATGGTGTCAGGCAAAGGAAAATGCCCAAGGCCCTGGTGTGCAGGAGTAGTGAGACACCCCTTGTGCGTTGCCAAATTTAGCAAATAAAAATACAAGACAGACACCCCACTTAGATACGAATTTCAGATAAGCATCAGTATTTTAAAAATGTAAGTTTAAAAATGTAAGTATGTCTCATGGAATATTTGAGATATACTGATACCAAACATTATTTGTAATTTATCTGAAATTCAAATTTAACTGGGCATCCCCTATTTTACCTGGAAACCCTCCAAACCCTCCAGGGTTAAAAGGGCTGGGGGGTGGGGCGCCCGCAGCCACACCCCACTGGAGGTTCCAGGCATTCTCCCAGGAGGACGCTACCTGCTGCCTGCCAGGTAGTGACCCCAGCAGCCCAGCACCAATGGAAAGAGGAAAGGTAACGCAGCAGAGAGAAGAACTAGCGGTCCCCTTAGATTTCACCATTGAGTCTCTTTGAGGTAAGAGTCACCTGTCACCTTCACAGGGCCTTGTCCACATCAAAGAAGGTCATGGCTGCCAAGCACTTTCACATTACAAGTGCCCTTCCTCTGCCAGGGGCGTCATGGTAGGGCTTGCACTTGCCTTTCCTCAGCTCTTAAGGGTTGGCATCCCTACTGACCCTCCCTTTTCCCTGAGTCATCTCACCCACTGCCTGGCTCCAGTCACATCTATAAGTGGATGGCAACCCACTTAGCACTCCGGCCCCCTTTACAGTAGAATAAATATACACCACTTCTTCAGGGGAAACAGCCTTGGACCCCTATTTTCATGTGCCTACTAGACACCATCCCAGGAGACTTTCTGTCCCTGTCCCGCCCCCCTACCACTGCCCACAGGCAGACTCTGCCAGCTCTTATCTGAATAATGGAGACGGCCCCCAGCTTGCCCTGCCCAAATTCCCCGCCCACATCACACCCAGGGGTGAGTTTCTAAGTCTGACCATGGCCCTCCTCTGCATGAGACCCTTCCATGGCTTCCTCTTGGTCTTGTGATAAAGTCAAAACATCTTGTGTGTCTTCTGCTCTCATACAGCCATATTTCTTGTCATGTCACCAACTGCCAACACTGTGCCTCTTCTCCAGCCCACTGTCCCACCAAATGCCTCCAGCCCACTGTCCCACGGTCTCCTGCCCAGCCCGCCCTGCCCGGCATTCCTTGGTCTCTCAATGCCCTTCACTGATCCCTTTACTAGTGAAAGGATTAGCAGAGCTCCCACATCCATCCCTGAAGAGTGGGGATCATTGCCTTCCTACGAGGCTTCTTAGGGTCTGAGAGAGAAAGAATCAAATGAGAAAGGGGATGTAAAACTATTTCGTAAACTGAAAAAAGTTTGTAAGAGGTGAAGAAGAATAAAGTGACCAATGGTCTGGGAGAGCCTTATAAGCTTCCTTATCAGCTGACCTCAGAGGCCCACAAGAAGCACAGGGGAACAAGCATGTGAGGGGCCTGGGGAAGCTGTGGCATTTGAGCTGGGAAGTGTGATGGGTGGGTAATGCTTTGGGTGGGGAGGGGGCATAATTACTGGAGCAGCCATAACCTATTTGTGAGGTCTGTGTCTGCATGAAAACCCCTAGAGAGACAGGGGTGGTGACAAGGCGGTGCAGGATGGTGGGGCTTAGGCCCCTTCCTTCCAGCTCAGCCAGGTGAGTCATCCGGAGGTGCTGGCCCAAATCTCAACTCCTCCACTTGAGACTGAGCTGAAATGGTCCAGAGGATGTGCCCAGAGGATGGAGACAGCAATACAGTGAATGAGTCATGGAGCTGAGTCAGAGCCCACTCAGCCCCTTTCAGAGCTCTGACGAAGGCTGTGCCAGCACAGCGGCATTCTTCCAGTCTTGCTCCTTCCCTACACACACACACGCACAGACACACATGCACGCATGCAGACACACATGCACGCATGCACACACACATGCACACAACATGCACGTGCACACACGCGCACACACACAAACACCCCTACAAACCTATGACCTCACAATATGCTTCTGACTGCTAGCCTCACTTACTTCACAGGTTCAGTGAAATCCCACTGAGCCTCCCATGTAATAGGCTTTCTTCATGCCCACATTTATTCATTCACTGTTCAGGTACTGGATAAAAACCCAGTCCTTGCCTTCAAAGAGCTCTCCACCCAGCAGAGGAAACACAGTCTCCAGCCATGCCTTGTCACTGCACAGGGAGCAAGGCATGGCCGTGGGAACACCTCACACAGCATCAGTATCTGGACTGATAGAAGGGGGAATGAGGAACACAGACCCTCAAAGACGGATGAGTCAAGAAGCCACTGCTCTAAACATCTGGTCCCAGGACTCCCAAGCCTGGTCCCCTCTACTTTCCAGTGGGAACACCAAGCCTAAAGGTGCGTCTACACAGACCCAAACAGCATCATTTCCTTTCTCTTCCAATTAATGTGGATATTTTGACATATGCAGGAATAGCCTAGGCTAATGGTCACAGAACATGTTCTGGTCTGAACTATTTTCAATATGAAGACTGAATTTTGGCTTTGAATCAGCAGCAGAGCCACCTGATTATATAAGAAAATATGCAATACTAAAACTGGGATAACTTAGAAGTCATCTAATTCCAGGCTCACTGCTTGCTTCATTTCGTAGGAGTAGAAACTCAAATCCAGAGAGGAAAAAGGAAGTCTTCTGATAATTTCCATCTATTTTCCAGTCCTTAAGTAAATATAATTTTTACTACAAAAATAAACCACATTAGAAAACAAAAAAGAAAAACCAGCTGGGCTCCGTGGCTCACGCCTGTAATTCCAGCACTTTGGGAGGCTAAGGCAGACGGATCACCTGAGGTCAGGAGTTCGAGGCCAGACTGGCCAATATGGTGAAACACCGTTTCTACTAAAAATACAAAAATTAGCTAGGCATGGTGGCACACACCTGTAATCCCAGCTACTTAGGAGACTGAGGCAGTTGAATCTCCTGAACCCCGAGGCAGAGGCTGCAGTCAGCCGATATTGCACCAGTGCACTCCAGTCTGAGGGACAGAGCAAGACTCTGCCTCAGAAAAAAAAAAAGAAAGAAAAGAAAAACCACATTAATCTCAATACACTAACATAACTATTGATATCATTTTGCTACTATTTCTTTACAATTTCTGTTCACACAGCTGTAATCATACAATATATGCCATTTTGTATGTTACTTTTTAAATTTGCCAAAAGCAATGTCATTCCAGGTGCTCGGTCAGCTCCCCAAGCAGTTCTACTGGTTCCACTCTGAGTTTCTGAAGAATCCGAAGGTAGTTCACCTGGAGGTTTGGCTGGTGGAAAAGATCTTCGGCAGGGGCGGAGAGTGCATCCTGCAAGTCCAGGGTCTGTCCCAAATCCTGATTCATGTGAATCACTTGGACCCCAGCGGCGAGGCTGAGATCTTGATATTTGGGAGGCCTTCTTACCAGGAGGACACCATCAAGATGATCGTGAACTTGGCTGGCTATCACCACCAGCTCCAGGCGAAAGGCTCAGAAAAGACCCTCGCCCAGGATGTAGCCACTCAGAAGGCCGAAACCCAGCGGTCTTCAATAGAAGTCCGGGAAGCCGGGACTCAGCGTTTGGTAGAGGTTCGGGAGGCCGGGACCCAGCGTTCGGTGGAGGTCCTGGAGGTCGGGACACAGGGTTCTCTGGTGGAGGTGTGGGAGGCCGGGACCCAGCAGTCCCTCAAGGCTGCCAGTGAGTTGGGGACCCAGCGATCTCCCGAAGCTGCCAGCAAGGCATGGACCCAGTGGTTTTAGGAGATGCCCGGGACCCAGTTACTAGGTTATGTAGGCATTTCAGGCCCTGGAACCAGAGCCAGTCATGGGTTAAGTGGAAGCCCAATACACTTAAGCCCCAGAATGTGGGGTTGGGGATGGGGGAATGATGATGTGAATTGTTTTTGTTTTACCCCTTCTGTTGAATGGTTGCAAACACAAACTTGAGTTCTAATAAAGAATTGCATTTCTAAATAAATAAATAAATAAATAAGTAAATTTGACTTTATGTTCTAAGAACTTCCACCACATTTTTACTCTTCATAACCATCATTTTAATGACTATGTAATATTTCAGCAAGGAGATGTTCTTAATTTTTTCATGACTTACTTATCATTTCCTTATTGGAGGACATTTAAGTTATGCCCTAAATATGACTAACATAATGCTAGATATTGCTGTTTTCATTTATTTGTTTCTCTGGGATAGAGAGATTTCCATAAATGGAATTGCTGTGAGGTAAAACATGTGAACATTTTAAAGTCTTTCGGTACATGTTAAAAAATTGCTTTAAGACTGTACTAATTAGGCTGAGCATGGTGGCTCACACCTGTAATCCCAGCTGGGAGGTCAAAGGGGGCAGATCACTTGACATCAGGAGTTCGAGACCAGCCTAGCCAACATGGTGAAAACCCGTCTCTACTAAAAATACAAAAATAAGGTGGCATGAGCCTGTAATTCCAGCTACTTAGGGGGCTCAGGCAGGAGAATTGCTTGAACTGGGAGGCTGAGGTTGCAGCGAGCCAAGATCGCGCCTCTGCATTCCAGCCTGGGAAACAGTTTATGGCTTTAAATAAAACAATAATTTCTCCATTTCAACATGTGACCAAAATGTTTATACCTTCTGACTCACCAATTCCATAAGAATTCTGGAAATAACCATCAGGTGTGCCCTGATGTCAGGGCACTTATGTCAGGATACCACTGAAGAATATGATGGTATAATATTAGGTATCTTAAAATGTATATGTGGCCAGGCACGGTGGCTCACGCCTGTAATCTCAGCACTTTGAGAGGCTGAGGCGAGTGGATCGACTGAGGTCAGGAGTTCATAACTAGCCTGACCAACACAGTGAAACCCCGTCTCTACTAAAAATACAAAAAATTAGCTGGATGTGTTGGTTGGCGCCTGTAATCTCAACTACTCAGGAGGCTGAGGCAGGAGAATCACTTTAACCCGGGAGGTGGAGTTTGCGGTGAGCCGAGATCGCAACACTGCACTCCAGCCTGGGCAACAAGAGCTAGACTCTGTCTCAAAAAAAAAAAAGTATACATGTATTAAAGTCTATGAGGGGGCTTACGGGAGAAAAATGTCTATATTTTACTGCATACACTTCTGTGTTGTTTTCATCTTTCACAATGAACACATATTATTTTTACAGTTTGCCAAATGACAAAGGTATTTCCATTTTGGAGACAAACACGGAAACCATTTCTGTTTTCATGTGCAGTGAGCATGCTGGTTAAGTGCATCAGAATCTCCACTCTAAATCTTACATGACCTTGAGTTTTCAAATGCTGATGATATCAGTGTCATAGGGTTATTGTGTCACTTAAATGAAATAATTCCTGGAAAATAGTTAGCACAAAGCCTTGCATTTAGTAAGTATTCATGAACACTAGCTACATTATTATTTTATTCTGACATTTCTTCTAGTCTGTGGAGGCCTCTACTCCCCTACTCACAATCTCAGCCACTGCTTCTTACTGCTTATCCCAGTAACAAGTAGTCTCCAGGGAACCAAGCCTGCTGAATGCCACATCAGCCACACACCTCTCCTTACGATTCTGTTTAGCAAATCAGAAGCTGTCAGCCCCAGGGCAACACAGAGGCAGGAGGCAGGAGGGAAGGAGCGCAGCACATATGTGTGTGGGCAAGGCCCAGGAGCACGCACGAATGCTCGTTCCCTTCCAGACAGCAGTGAGGATGCACAGCACTGGGAACTGGAAAAATGAGCGAGACTGTTTTCAGGAGAGCAACAGCTGGCGGGGAAAACACCCAGAGAAGTAAAAATAAGAATATCAGATCTTTTAAAAACTGAAAATCTTGAAGCACCTGTAATGTTCATGCTTATTTTCAGGAAAAAAAAAAAAAACAAAAACAAAGGCAAAACTCACTTTTTAGAAGGAAGAGCACTAAGCTAATAAGAGGCCGTGGCTGTTTAGGTGTCAGTAAGAGCCCGGACGCGGCAGGCAGGGCCTGGGTCTGGACTCTGGATTCTGGCTTTTCCACAGGCTGGCTCTGTGAACACTGCCAAGCTGATTCATCTTTTGTCTCAGTTTTGTCATCTGTAACATGGGGATAATAAAAGTGCCTCGCTGATGGAGTTGTGAGGTTTGAAGGAGTGAATATGCACATACACATGCTCTGGAAGGGCCGCCTCTTGCCATTTTGTACATGGCTGTTTGCCCTTGACCCAGCTGTGTAGCAGAGCGCCCAGCTAGAGGAACCTCCCAGCCAGTTGGGGAGCACCTCTGAGGGTCATCCCTGTGGATGTGGCCGTCGGCAGGACCAGCCCTGTTCGCAGACCGAGCTTTTGCTTCCTCTCATCTTTCCTGAGGGAGACCCTGGGAAAGGAATGCCATCTGCGGGGCCTTCCCCGGACACCAGGCAAACGGATGGGGAAGGTGCAGAGGTGGGCGGTGAGGAGGGGCCCCTGACGTCAGCCAGGGCAACGCTGACCTCCCGGACTGCAGCTGCTGGGGGGCCTTTAGCTGGGTTGCCCAGGAAGGCAATGAGGGCTCCCAGGCAGCTTACTGTGTGGGGCCGACCCCAGCAGAGGCGCGGGGCCTGGTCATCAGGGGCTGGAATGGGAGAAAACAGAGAGAGACAGACAGAGAGGCCCTAGGGATCGAAGGAGCCCCAGGAGGGAGGCAGTAGGGTAAGTAGGGGGCTGTGAGGAGGCAGGGGCAAGAGGGTGTGGGGGAGATGGGAGACTAAAGCTGGGGTGGGGGATGGGAGGAGGAGACGGGGGCCACGAGGAGGGGTAAAGGAGAGGTGGCCTGTGGGGAAGGGGAGGAAGGAGGAGGGGTTTGGGAAGAAAGAGGGTGAAGGGGAGATGGGGGAGGGGAGGAGGGGAAGGGGACAGGGAGGGAGGGAGCAGGGAAGCGTGGAAGGCGCAGGATCAGCCCAGGTTTGCGGGGATTGGGGCACGAGGAGGGACGGAGAGGTGAGGGGATGTGGGGAGGAGTGGATGGGGGAGGGAAGGGGAGGTGATGGGGCGTGGGGGGAGGAATGGATGGAGGACCAGCCCAGTTGTGGGGGGAACGGGTAGGGGGAGAGGAAGGTAGGGGGTGTCGGGGAGGGGGAGAAAAGAGGAATGGGGGAGCGGGGGTGGGGGCGGAGGGGCGTTGCTCTGCCCGCTGCCTCCTCCCGCCCCGCGCCGCCCCCGCCTCTCGGCCCTTCAGGCCGGGCGCCACCCACACGCCTTCGACGCCGCGTCAAGCAGCCGCTGGGGAGGACGCGGCGGGAGCCTCAGATGCCACCTACTCCCGGCCGCTCTCCCAGTTGATGCTTCTATTTTAGGCAGCACATTATTTCCTGCTGTGATTTTTTTCAGCCTTCTAATTCGGGCTCTGAGGTAAGCCGTGACATCCGCCGCGCGCCCGCAGCCCCCTCCCGGCCCGGCGGCGGCGCGATCCCGCCCGAGCCCGGCGACCTCCGGCCGCGCCTGCGTCTTCGCGGAGCCACTGAGCCAGGCCCGCCCCAAAACGGACTCCCGGGAGGAGGGCTTCTCCCCTGCGCTGGATGAAAGAGTCCAGCCACGAGGGATTGCTAGGCAAGGATTTGGATAAAGTGACAGGGAGGGACACATTGCGCCATGGTGTCCCGATCCGGGCAGGGGACTGCAGATGTTTCCATGAGGTTTAACATGGTTTTTTTCTGGACACGGGTCCCTTTGAGGATGTGATGACGGTCTTGCACCCTGTCCCCAGAAAGTGTCCAGAGCAAGCCGACAGCCCACACAGACACTGCGATTCTGCCTGTGGCTTCAGGCACGTCACCTCCTGACACCCTAGGGGCACCAGGACCCCAGGCTAAATAAAAGTCCAGCTCCGAGGTGGACTCACTGACCCCTACTTCTACCGTCTCCCTCTATTGGCCTCATTACTTTTTTTTTTTTTTTTTTTTTTTTTTTTTTTGAGACAGAGTCTCACTTTGTCTCCCAGGCTGGAGTGCAGTGTCGCCATCTCCGCTCACTGCAACCTGCGTCTCCTGGCTTCAAGCGATTTTCCTGTCTCAGCCTCCTGAGTAGCTGGGACTACAGGCACACACCACCACACCCAGCTAATTTTTACATTTTTAGTAGAGACCAGGTTTCACCATGTTGGTCAGGCTGGTCTCGAACTCCAACGTCAAGCAATCCACCCTCCTTGGCCTTCCAAAGTGCTGGGATTACAGGCGTGAGCCAGCGTGCCCCAGCTTCAGCCTTATAACATTTAATAAATGTTTTTAAAACTCCTTTGTATGGGTGAGGCTCTTACCCCACAGTGGGCAGATGGAGGCCACATTGCAAACCGCTAAGGGAGTTCGCCGGCCTGCTCTTCAGGTGCCTGGCCTAGTTCATTACCTGGGTCCTGCCAGCATCTGGTAGTGGAAAAGGCACTGCAGTTGGATTCCAGGAGACTTGGGTTCCAGTTCTTAGTTAGTAGTTGCGTTCCCTTGGCCTCCCTGAGCCCCCACTTCATCTGTGCAATGGGAACTGTAATAAAGCTTCCCTCACCAGACTAAGGGAGTCAGTGCACAAAGGAGAAGGCCTAGTTTACTTCTTTTGAGTAACTCACACTTGCCTATTGCCCCTCAGGGTGGGCAGCGTCCAGTAAATTTTGTGGTCATTTTTTTTTTTTTTTTTTTGAGACAGAGTCTCACTCTATCACCCAGGCTGGAGTGCAGTGGTGTGATCTCAGCTCACTGCAACCTCTGCCTCCGAGGTTCAAGCAATTCTCCTGCCTTAGCCTCCTGAGTAGCTGGGACTACAGGTGCGTGCCACCACACCCGACTAATTTTTTCTTTTTTTTTTTTTTTAAGACGGTGTTTCACCACGTTGGTCAGGCTGGTCTTGAACTCCCAACCTCAGGTGATCCGCCCACCTTGGCCTCCAAAGTGCTTGGATTACAGACGTGAGCCACCATGCCCGGCCTTTTTTCTATTTTTTAGTAGAGATGACGTTTCACTATATTGGCCAGGCTGG